AACACACTCAGTCACGTCGTTTATACGAGGCGGATGACGTGCACGACATTCGCAGGCGACAGGGGAAAGCGTTGCAGGTGCACAGCGGCTGCGTGTCTTCGTGTGCATGCATAACATAGAGCACGCACCCCCCCCCCCCCCCCCCCCCCGAATCAAATATTCCCGCGATAGCGCAACATGCAGAGCAGGAAAGAAGACACAACGCTATTCGTCCACGGAGCAAAGGCGCACGGGAGGACACGATAGAGAGAGAGAGAGCAAGAGGAGAGAGAGTGGGAGAGTCAAAACACCGCCCCCCCCCCTCCGTGATTAATTTCTATCTAATCAATAAGAAAGAGAAAGAACATCCGCGCACAAAAAAAATCGTGTCGGACTCCCCTGCAGGTGGACTGCAAATCTTTCGCCTTTTCAATTGACACAGAACAGAAAGCTTGTGATTTGGGAAAGGGGAAAAGGGGGGAGAGTGCATACGGCTGAGGAGAGTTAAGGTGAAAAGACACATGGAGGAAAAGAAGTCTACAGGATGCATATCTGAGCCACACATCACGCGCGCCCCTAGGAGCCATTTCTTCTCTGTTTTTTTTTTGTTTTGTTTTTTTGTGGATGTGAAAATTTACCAGTGCTTCCATCGGTGAACGTCTCCATCCCCGCCATGCGAGCAGCCTGTCTGGACAAGAGAGGGATGGAGAGCTGAAAGATGGGGGAGAGAGGGTACGGGAGGGGGGGCAGAGGTGTGTGTAAGAGGGGCCAGTGTGTGGGGCGGTTGATCTGGGTTGGGGGCTCAGCATTAAACCGAGGGGCTAAGGGGTTAGAGGTGAGGGTGGGGGGAGTTTGGAGGGATATGGCAACACCCTAACCTTTCATGTCCCCCCCTCTCTCGCTCTCTCTCGCTCCATCTCTCACCCTCGACGTGTGTCTCTCCTTGGTTTCCATGGCGATCCGGTGGCTGTGGTGCTGCTGCTGAGGAGAAAGAGGCGCGCGTGTAAGAGACAAGGAGGGAGCGAGGCGAGACGGTCGTTTGAAGTGCAAGGAGGGAACCGTGACACATCTCAGGTAATTAGCAATAAGAGACGTCTCAAAAATTAAATAACACTGCATGTGAAGACCTCGTCGCATGTTCTCCCAAAGATGAATAAGTGCTGGGGCACGAGAGCAATATGTTTTTAAGGGCCACGTGTGATTTGCATAAAAATTAGGTGACCATTAAGTTAAAGTATCTCTGACGGGGAGGTTCGTAACTTCATGACAGATGTTGCCGATGTGACCAAATGGATATTCAGCAGGAGGCCCTGCAGTTTTGAATATGAGGCCTCCTTAAATTGGTGACTCCTCTATGCTGCCCCCTGCAGGCCATAGAAAGCACTGCCGTTCCTGCTCAGTGTGAGCAGAGACCTGCTGCTCACAAACTAACACAGTGTGACTAGATTGTTCCACTAGATTTCATACAATAGCAAATCATTATCAAATAACAGAATAAGAGATACGTCGACCTTTTTGGTTAATAGTTACAAATCAAGCAATTGGCTTGACCAATTTCATTTCCCTTTTTATGTGCTGGTGTGTCGTCTTCCCTTCTTTGCGACTGACCTCCAGCTTTACAACCCCACACGGCTTTGGAGAAGATCACCTAATCTAATTTACCCCCCCTCAATAAAAGCCATAGAATGTCCCGTATCAGAGAGCTGTACCATACGCTGCAGGGTATACATATAATAAAGGCGGCCCCAGTGGGCCGGCAGAAGGCTGTAGTGTCTATCAGCTTTAGATGACACGTTTCGATAGGAGACTGATTTAGGCCTGAGCTACCACAAGATGACTTGAGTCTCCATCCAATCAAGGTGGTGCGAAGAACACCTGCGGACAGACAAAGTCCGCAGGAAGATGATGGCCAGTGTCCAGCCGCTCAACCCTGCATTACATTAGCTTTTTGCAGCAAATGCAATTTTCACTGTGGAACACGAGACCACCTCTGATGTCTCTATGAAGTGTTTTAGGCAATAAGCCGAACAGTCATCTCTCCAGATGTTTGGTGTGCTCTGGCCGCCTTATATATTTGAATCAGAGGTATTCCCTACAGCTGGTGATAGAAAGTGAAAACACATGTTGAAACTGATTGGTTAAAACAAACAACACGGTTTTATTATTTGCCATCTTGACCCGATGATGGATTCTCTCTTACCATGGCTCCCTCCTGGTTGCTTGGTCCCCAGTCGACGGCATCACAGGACTGCCACTGTCCTGCCCTATCGCCGTCACCATGGCAACGGGATCTTTGACCCCATCTGTGGAATCCTTGACCTGGATGTAGATCAGCGAGGCATCAACAGAGCCTATTGGCTGAAAACTGCTGCTGTGCAGAGGTGGCGTGACTGTGGCGGTGCTGATGGGGTCAGTGTAGCGGGCCAAGAAGATGGGAGGATCCTGGGGTCTGCTGGGCCTGACTCAAACCCCCCCCGCGCCCCCCTTCAGCTGGGGCTTGTATCGCGTTGAACAATGATGGTGTTATTTAAAGTATAAATACATTTTTTATGCCATTCTGATCAGATACCACTCTCATATCTAGGTCTAAGCTTTTAAGTATTTCTGCACAAGTAGAAATTCTCCACTCTACTACATCTTTGCATGGCAAATAGATGTTTGCTGCTATCCTCACGCTCTGAATACCGTAAAGCAGTGGTCCCCAACCACCGGGCCGCGGACCACAGAAAGCTTATATATATATTTTTTCTGAAAAATGTTTTATTTTGAAAATTGACCAGATTTTCTCCTAATTATGTGCGCTCGTCCCTCTGACAGATTCCCCACGCGTCACCAGGCGTTTTTCTTCACGTTTACAATTGTCCTCTTACCGTGCACGGCAGTTTCGCCCACCAGCGAACACAGAGCACGTGACTACTACACCCACCCCCCCGTCGGACCTTCTCGACCGGTCCGCGAAATATTGTCTGACATGAAAACGGTCCGTGAGGTAAAAAAGGTCGGGGACCACTGTCGTAAAGAACTTCTAAGCATCCAAACTGATTGGAAGATTGTGAAAAACATTCAGCACAGATCGGTTGTCAGAGACACATTCGTGGAAGGAGGGATCCGTACAAGGTGAGGTAGCGGCCTCAGCATCATTTTTAGTTTTACAGCCAGATGAAATAAAAATGGCGGTAGCTGTAGAACTGGGTCCAGAGTCCAGCTCTTGGCCTGATGAAGTCCCCTCGGCGAGCACCTCCGGAGGTCCAGCTCCTCTTGAAGAGGGCGGTCTGTGGGAAGGAAGGGTTGCCCTGCTCGCTGAGGTTCCGCCTGTGCCTTGTCCTTGGATATTTGGGAGCATAATGCTCCGGAGTGCTCCAGATATGTGGCCCAATTTCTACGACGAACACATCTCTCACAGTGGCAGGGTCATCCAGGAGGGAGGCACTGTTCAGAGGAGCAACACGGCCGCAGTATTTAAGTTGGATCTCTGTAGTTCTGCAGACTTCTCAGACAGAGCGCCTGGGTCTCCCCGTGGGCATCACTTCGCTGGTCTTGCTTTAAGGCTGGGTGTGGTGAAAACTGGGCTTTCAAAAAAAGCCCAGTTTTCCCCGAGGCAGGCCTGGGGCAGTTTAGCAGGCCATCAAACAGACCTACTCTGAACAGGGTAGAAACTGCCCTATCAGGCTTTTTTCCCCCAGAGGGTTGGTCCCGCTTATTGTTCTCCATGATGGCGAGTCAATAATAAAACTTCATTTGTACCCTCAGCAGCAAATTTAACAGGTGTTGTCAGTGTTTTGAACCAATCTAATAATGATGCCTTTAAGTCAGACAGGCTTGTAACATTGCACTGAATATTTCAATTGACAGGCACGAGAGATCAACAAGCAACCTTGAAATATGAATAAAATTGACAATTAATGTAGCTCATGCTGTATAACCATTGATGGACGTAGTTTGTGTGTACATAGAATTAAAGAAATATAATAAGATAAATTAGTCACGTTTAGTACAAACTTGGGTTATTAAATAAATATTTTTATTTCATTGGGTATTCATGTCTGTATTTGAGGATCACTCGGCTAAAATGCCATGGCTAACTAGAGAATGTCCCTCATTACTGTGCATGGTTGCTTAGAATCTGACTCAAATGAGGTGAAGTGCCCTTTTGCCGACATTTTAATTATTTATTCATGTGCCAGAGGACTCTGGTGGTCTACATCAGAGGACTAAATCATGTCCAAAGAGGTCCAGCAATAAGTCAAAGGTCTATACCCTATAACAGGAAATAGTGGATGTATCCAGAAACAAGCATTTCGTAATGGGACATTGAAAAAAATCAACATATTAACTCATTTCTGCTACACTATGTTTACTTATTTCCCATAAAAAAACAGCACAGCACAGTGTCCAATCTACAAGACTGGACTCAAGCCTTAAGGACAATGGCCCCTGGAATAACGCAAAAAATACATTTAAAAAACAATACAAGAAGCATAAAATCCATTTACTAGCTGAGAGGCAGCCACAAAAAGGTTTTAGTAAGAATCAGTGGCAACTATGTTTGATTGCTATTGTGGGTAGAAAAAGGGCAGCCTTGAGCTGAATATGGATGTTTTTTTCCCCCAATATTTTTGTAACTAAAAAGAAAGAAAGAGTCAATCCAGCAGTTTAGAGCCATGCAAGCCACGCAATGATTATGAAGCGTTCAAGGAAGTGAACGTTAAAGGAGAAGAAAATGTAGCACAAAGCTGGCTGAAGAAACTAAATAGAAACGCTTTTCTAGAGCTTCAACACGCTGAGCTTCAAAGCAAGGAGAAATAATTAAGGATCTGATCCACCGTGAGCTGCATCGGATACGACCTCTTCAGACTATTTGGGGGCAGGAAAAGGACACAGAGGTACGGAGGGTGTAGGACCGGGAAGAATAAAAAAGAAAAATAAACACACTAACAAAATGAGAAAGAATTATGTTAATTGTTGAAAGCACACAAGGATGTTTTAGTTATTGATACAATAATGGTCCATGTGCAAAAAACCTCTTTAAGGACAACAAACCTTTATTATTCACCACAAATAATATCTTGTGTATAAAGATTTTCACAAATATTTGGCATACCAAAAGAATTTCTTTAACAAAAACACTCCTGAATTAGTTATTTTTTTCCTTGTAGGAATAATAATACAACCCCACTAATAATAATAATAATAATAATAATAATAATAACACATGGCTCCCTGTGCCCGTCCCTTCGGGGAGCCCTACACTTCAGACAGTAGCAAGTCTGCCTGCTTAAATCGTGCCTGTGTCGGGGGGATGGGGGATGAGGGGGGGGACTTACAGGAGGGGCCCTATTGATCGTCCCCTATGAGTGAAGTCCAGGCATTAGTTCCAGCAGGGTGAGTGGACAGCTGTCCGTGAGCCCCTCTGCTGGGCCTACATAGCAGGGCTGAGCGGAGCTGGGATGTGCACTTTTGATTTTTATCTCCCCAACATCACTTCTATTGACCGACGCACTGTCCTGTGCTTTACTTGACGAGAGAGGTACTCGCTGAAGCCTGGACGCAAGCCACCGTTGTATTATTCGGGTTGCTGTTGACAGGCTGGGGATGATGAATCTTCCACGGTCTGCTGAGGCCAGGCCCTAATCACTGCTGTCATCTACTGGCAACGGTCGCATCCCAACGCCAATCACAAGCCGGGTTATCGTGGCACGCGGTGCTGAGAAACATAGCGTTTGGGGTTTTTTTTGGGGGGGGGGGGGTGTACATGCGCAGGGTAGGCTCTCCGAAATTTGGTCAAAGTTCAATCTGTACAGAGAGAAGTCCACTTCTCCAGCTGCCCTCAGTTCTGTCGCACATTTTTAAAGATCAGAAACTTTCCTTGGCATTAAATGTGTATTTAGAAAGAAGAAGTGCCAGATTATATTGTCAATATTTCTCAAGTTCAAACTAAATAATAAAAAACAACCAAACCATCAGCGATGTTTAGTTTGCCGCTGGCATTTTGAGTTTCAAGAGCCGTCTTAGAATCTGAATGACCACAATCCACGCAGAAATTTGAAAAAAAGGTTGACAAATGCTTGCTGGCTCGTTGTGATTGCAGCCTTTTTAATCTGTGTACGCATGCACGTCTGCGTCTGTATATTGTACTCAAGGTGAAAATGTCAACACCGCAGTTGTTCAGTGATCAGTTAACCGTACTTATCGAAGATTAATAATGTTATGAGGGGCTTACCATTTATTTTGGCACAGGCTTGCTTGCTCCTGTTCTCACTGAGACTAAGAAGAAAAATCTTGGTACATCCCGTTTCCTCCTGGTGTTCTACACAGTAGCACCTGTGCATGAATCCCAAGGGAAAGCACATTAATCTGTTATTATTCACTTTCCTTTCACAAAAAAAAAGGTAATTTTTTACCTACAGACAATTCTGAAAACGTAAGGCCGGCTGCGAACGCAAACAACCAATGGTGAAAGCTGCCATCTAGTGATTATTACATGCATTGCAACTACAGGAGGCGGCCTTCTAAATTCGCCCTGTACGGATAACCTTCATCGTGACCCCGGCTATTCCTTTCTACAGAGGACAATGCAGCACACCGCAAAGATTCCGATCCGCCTACACAGCCCAGTGAGTCTATGTGCGCCAACGATGACTAGACGGCAACATTCTCCTCGCTCTCAGCAGCATCCGGCCCTCCTCGTAGTCATCCTGGTCCACGCTGATCAGCAGGCGGACGCCCTCCGATCCGGCCGCCATCCTCAGGGAGTCGGTGATGAAGACTCCCTTCAGGGCCTCCAGCAGGGCGCCGCTCAGGTAGTCGCCCCAGAAGGCCTCCAGGTTCTCCAGCTCCGTGAAGTTGATGTCGCAGACGATGGAACCCAGGTCCCTGGCCCGCAGCAGCGAGTTGGCTTTGCTGAACAACTCAAACTGGCGCTCCAGGGGCTGCCGCTTGTCCGATGAGACGCCCTGACGGAGGGCCGAATCGTGCTCCAGGTATTCGGCCCGGACGCGCAGGCGGATTTCTGATAAGGGAGGTAAGCGGTGGAACAATAAGGGGGTTTGAGAGTTGAGGTGGGAAATAAGGAGAAGAAGAAGAAGAAGAAGAGGGACGGGCACAGATATAGTGAGAAAAGAGAGAAAATGAGGAGTAATAGTGGACAGGCCCACATACAGAACCAGGCAGAGGGGGACGGGGTCATGAAAGGAAAACAAAAAGGGAAAGAAAAACAGACAGGACAATTAGTAACGGGTTTATGGGTGAATTTACATGAAAGCAGGAGAAAAAAAAGTGCTTCCAGAGCACAGATTTACCACATTAATTAATGCAAACTGGACCAGAAATCGTTCAATCAAATACTTTCTTTCTGACAAGTGCAGATGTAATGGCGCTGCAGGGAAAAACACTGTAATTTCTGTCAGGCCCTTGAGCTGGAACAACCAGACTGTGAGCATCTTTGTGCCAAATACTTCTACAGCAGGTTTGGAAACGTTCTGGTACTTTGGAGCAGTGAGAGAAATACTCTGCGGCTGAACAAGTAGCGTAGTCCCTTTTCTTTCTATATGAAAATCCATGTCAGCTGATAAATAGATGGCTGCCTGAGATCAAAAGAAACTGAGGCGGGAGAATTTTCTGTGTGACATCCTGCGTATACAAATCAGTGTCAAATTAATGTAGGGAGATTTAACTGGGAACATCGTGGCGGCAGCGGTGAGGGCAACTTAGCAGTGTCAAGCACCCGGAGGCCTTTCTGTTCCAGTCCGGAGTCTAAAATCTGTCCGATTCATTCCTATCAACACCTTCATTGCGGTGGACAGATAGCTGCCTGAGTTCCGCAGTAACAGGATTGGTGGTCATGCAACAGCGCAGCGAGAAAGATCAGAGGATGCATACATACTGTACTGAGTAAGAGAACCGCGGAGGTCGTCCCCCATGTCATTAGTCCAGAGCTTCCAGTGGAAACCAGCGGCTGATGACTTTTGCTGTAAACAAAAATCCATCCCTCCCACTCGAACCCCTTTGAAAAAGGTCAACAGCATCGACTACCATCCATTTCAACATCGTCATCCACGGCAAAGGTGTGTGGGAGCATTTCTTCAAGCAGTTTCTAAGCCACATTTGCATCTCTTGGTATGAAAAACCCAAACCTCCAGGAAATGGACTAAAAAGGGCCAGTGTGTAGCATTTCAGGGGATCTAAATGCAGAAACTTTAATGAAATATTCATACCCGTGTTTGCATTTCATTCAGTTTATAGGTACCTGGACCCAAGAATCATTTTGTGAGACCTTTCACAGAACGGACAGACCAAACGACGGCTTTATCCGCAGCGTTTTGCGCCTTTACGTTATTTGAAGGCTGCCGTGATCCTCGGATCTGCTCGTTACGCTGCAGTAACAAGAGTGCGAAAAACGTGCCAGCGCACACGCTCATGAGAGCGAAGGGGTATTCAGGTGGTTGCAGTCTGATCAGTCAAACCCTACACACTGTCCTTTGAAAAGGCCCTTGGTTGGGAGAGGGGGGGGGTAATTGATGCATGGTACAAATGGTCATTTTGTGGGTGTAGTATCCCTCCAAACGTATTTAAGAGGCACGCTGGCGGGGAAAGGGAAAGCTCATATGGGCAGACAATGACCGTAGTCTGTCATTTTACTCATCTGTACCTGGTAAAGTACTGAAAACCCCACTGATAAATGATCCGACTGGAACATCACGTTCACCCCCTCTCCATTTATATTTTGTCTGGGGCTACGGGGAATGGCACAAACACTCCAGAGGGATGAAGTTCGGAAAATGTCAACATTAGAAATGCAAATGTTGAATTAAGGCATTGATTTTGCACGTTTTAACATTTCTAGGACAGCGGTGAGCAAACATTGGCATTTGCATTGGAGCTTCATTAGGCTGTAATTAGATTACTATAAAAACAGACCACTGGATCAAAGGGGACGCTTAATCGATGGGGTTTGGGGACGGTTTAAAACATGCAGGGGGGGTGGTGGTAAGGAAGACCATTAAGTTGACATTACCTCATACAAAAAGACAAGAAGAAATGTTCATAGAGTTTACAGGAATAGTACATAAGATTGTTACATGACAAATGATTAAACCCTGTCTTTAAGTACTTATATTAATCTGTAATAACCTTTGTTCAGGGTTGATCAATTGACAACACATAGATACAAGCACGTTATGTTGTCATACCACAGATCAAGACGTGTCCTTGGAGACCGTAAAGTGCCTGTACTAAGTATTCATTCCCCTTTTATTGTTTGACAACATTGATTAACACTCGACAGCTAACAGCCAACAAGTCTTAAGACAAACATTGAAAAGAAAACGGTGGCGCTTGCGTATTCAGTCAGGGGAAGGGTACAGAAGAGAGGTAAAGCAACAATAACCTTCTATGCAGTACAATCAATCATGAAATGTATGGTAATCTGCCGACAGTATCTTGTACTTCAGTAATGAACGTTGGTAAAACAACTTGTTGAAAATTTCCCCCGAGAGGTTCATGAAAACCGTGAGATGAAACACTGAGCAAACAACTGTAGGGTGGTCGCAGAAAAATGAGCATTAAAAAGAAAAAACAAGGACAAGACGTGTTTAATCTCTCTGACCAACAGAAATAAACTAACCCACAATCAGGTGAGAAGGTGCAGCGTCGCTGCAGCAGAACCCGTCAGTGTTAGAGATTAAACTGAATGCTGGAGTCTGCGACTAAGATCAATTTCTCAGTGTTACAATGTATGAATTTAGTTTTGGCTAAATTTGTTTTAGCTTTCACAAAGCCTTGATCTGTTAATCGGCGTCACAAATGCTTACATTGTGGTCCAATTCTTGCAAACCAAAATGTTGCGGTACAACATACGTGGTAGAATGTTGACAAATCAGCAGACATGTGAAGAAATATTATGATTTATCTACTATGACAATGAACTCCTTCAGCCCCTTACAGATCATCAGTGATGACTCTGCGAAATATTAAGTTTACAGTTCCACCTTTTGGGTCATTAGAGTGTACGGAGGCTGTGGCTGTGACAAACAACCGCCCCTTAATGACTGTATTTATGGATGCCCCCCCCCATTTCTGCGTCCCCGTTTCATAGCGGGCAGGATGGAGGTGGAGATGGCGGCACTGAGGAGAAGGCCATTAAACCACAGGAACACCATGATAGTCATTTTGTTAGGGTTACAGAGCACTTCACGCTTCATCAGACACAGAGACATCCACTTAGACAGGACATTAGGAGGCACAGCTTTCATTTTCTCACTTTAAACAACGAGCCAGTCCGCCTTCCTCCATCTCAGCACCACCAAAAAAAAAAAGAAAAAAGAAAAAAAAAAAAAAAAAAAGTTTAAGTACCCATTTACGAGGAGTCACTTGGCACGGAGAGCTTCAACTCTTTATCGATCCGTTTCTCTGCTGAACGACTGACCAAGAGAGTGGAGCGTTAGGGGAGCACTGAGAGACAGAGCTGTCCCTCTTCTCCCCGTGGACAAAAGTGACTCTGTACCATTTTGCGTGGTTTGACCCCTTTAGAGCTCGTTCTCTCCTTCTGAGTTTGTGTAAGGATACTGTTTTCCTGAGACACAGGTTGGTCTGTTTAGAACTGTGAACACAGAAAGGAGAGAAAAGGAGAGAAAGAGACAAGCACAAGTGGGTTGGACATCTGTCGACTGGGTCGTTCGTTTCAACATCAAGCAGACATGGCACAGCACTCACTACTCTTAGATGTAATGAGGTCCGGGTCGGGGCGATAGTTGGTACTGACAAGTTAATCAGCTCAGCTTTACTGTAGCTCTACAATATCACATGGCATTGTCTAAGTGGGATGCTTGGGACCACTCTTGCCTTGACCGATCCCCCCTCACCTTCACCTTCACCAACCCATTATTAAAGCTCCAACCAGCACATTAATCGAATGTGTCCATTTACACCTAGTAAGAGCCTTTCCTCAAGCACCCCATTTAGACAGGACAAGCCCACCCCTGAGCTGAGGGGCACAAACACCTTACGGGCATTTTGGAACAGCAGAGGTCTGAATGTAATAGAGACACACTTCACTGAAAATGATCCGAGAGATGATTCATGACAAGAAAAGAGTATTTGAGGAGTGTTAAAAAGCAAAAGGGCCGGCGACTAGCTCTGCTCCTCTTCGACAAATCGCACACCCAGAGCTCACACGGGGCGCAGAGGTAAGACGCAGCAGAAGCTTCCTTCAGCAGAACACCGTTGGGTTATTGTCTGTTGGCAGGCATTTTAGATTCTCTGGAATGGAATAGGGGGCCGGTCCTCATCCGTGCAAAAATAAGCATTTGTCTCTGAACTCGATACTCCAGAGCTGGCATGAAGTTCGTTAGCCCAAATTAATTGAGTTGATCGAATCTTAAGGCGGATGCTTACAGCCACCTGCGAAGGCGAAGGTCTGAGAGCGAAAAGATGGCCCGAAAAAGGTTTCCCACCAGAGGCAGAAAAGTGTCACTTTCACAAACATGTCCAACATATTTTTAGTTTGTTTTTGCGGGATATTAACTGGACTTTATTGCTTTGAATTACTCTAAAAGTATTCATTTATTCCCCCGCACAAAGACCCAAACAATGAAGTTAAATCAGAACATACATCACATTCAAGATAACTTATCAATATTGAAGAACACTGTAACAATAATATCATAATATCAGTGTTCATTTTGTTAACTGAAACTAAGACGTCGATAAACCGCCCGGCCAAGACACTGGATCAGTCGGACATGTTTGTGAAATTGTGTCAAGTTCTCATATGCGTATAGAAAACCAGGGAATTTAACACAGGACTTTAACTACATATGTTGCCGTTATTGTGGTTTTAGTGAGATTCAATGAACTTTGGCGCCGTCTCCAGATTTTCATTGGGAAATGAGCAGAAGACGTCAGGGGAACAGAATATCTACGGCTTACTGCTGAGGACCGCCTGTTTCTGTGAGACACTGACACCAACAACCCTTGTCAGAAATAGATCAGGAATCATCCACAGTGCACAACACTAAACATTACAGGATGATTGCATTAGGATGCCTGAGGGGGGATGGGGGGGAATGGGGTAGGGAGCAGCTTGATCATGAACCACACGCATAAAGAGCAAATTGGCAGCACCCTCCCCTGTTGTAACAAGGGCGGGAGAGCCTCTTTTACCTTTTAGGCATCGGCCCAGACTCGTGAGCGAGCGCACGACTGAGACGATCGCGCACACCGCAGTGTCTACGGACCGAGAGGAGGCACGGACTTTTTTGTTTTGTTTTGTTCCTCAGTCTCTCCCCCTCTGTTTCCATGATCCATTGAGTCTTAGGTTACTCGACCTGAGTCACAATCCTGAGACAACCTGGTGGAATCAAATGTGGAGTCAAGACAGCAACATGTTCATCGTCACACAGGCACATCACGCACAGCTAACGGCGGCCGCGCTCACCGTGGTGGGTTTACAGAGTCATCGGCCCTTTGCTCTAGTATGCATTTCTTCGAGTTCGAGGCAATTGTTTGACAAGGCCTGCATGAACATGACTTAGGCGAAACGTCACACAAAGGCAACTGATGTCAGTTTTATCTGAATCGTATTGTGTTGAGAGAGTTCGAGCATTGGTTGGTTTACAAGGCAGGCAATAGTTGAAACGGGGAAAGGACATTGAGAATGGAGTACATGGTGAAGCCTTCCAGAAGGGTTAGATCGTTTCCAACGACTACACAAAAGATTACTCTTTCAGGAGTAAATGGGAGGTTTGACAGTAGTCTCGGGACCAACTTTGTATCAAAGCTCAGCGAGAAAGCCAAACACGGGTTGCATGTAGTAGCGACTGGACAAACTCAAGAGCAGCAGCAGAAAATGAGCCAATGGGGTTAAAGAAAGGATGTAAGAATGGAGAAACGCAGAGGACGACAAACTCCCCCCTTCTGATGTTGTTTAATGGGGACAGTTAAGGAGGGAAGTGTAGAGTGTGGCAAAGAAAATACCAAGTGGAACCGTTTGAGAGTGAAAAGACACGTCAGTCAAGTGAAAAGTTTAATCAAGCGATTTCTTTTGCTGGGAATGTATTTGATCTGAAGTTGGGAATCAGACAAAGCTCTGGACTCTCTGTGTTGACGGTGAACACGGTGTTGACTTTTTAATGCCAGACACCAGATATTATGTTAGTATGGCCGATAACAAGCTAGCCGGCATCTAAGGCCAAGTGGATTATAGAGTTTGGTGTTGTTCTTTTGAAGTAAAAAAAAAGAAAGAAATGGTAAAAAACTCCTCAACTCAAGCTGAGGTTCAGCGTAGACAAACAACATCAGAATTAAAAGAGACAAAACGGTGGCGTTTATGTGGCGTTAATTGATCTGGAAGGGAAAACGGCAGGATGAAGCTAAGAGAAAAAAAAGCTAAAAAAGGAGACAGGTGACAAATGAAGGAGGTTCACTTACTGCAGAAGGCTTTGTGGGGTGGAGGTGGAGGCGGAGGCGGAGGCGGGCCCGGTCGGCTTGTTTTCCTGGGCTTACGGCTCCAGCCGTTTCCCCTCTTCTTCCTCCTCTTCCTCCCAGGTGGCCCAGGCAGAGGAGGGTAGATCCCTGATAGAACATGCATGGAATTAGTTGGCGCTATTCGGATGGCGAACAAACATCACCTCCACATCAGAAAGGATGCCAGTGTCTCATCACCAAAAAAAAACAGGTACTGGCTTCAAGATCAAGTTCGAAATGTTACTTGCTGTAAGGAATGCTACTTGCTGCTTTGGCCACTCTGTTATGATTAAAAACAGCAAACACTGTAGCCTAAATAACATTCTACAATGCACATACCAGTTCTCAACTGCTGCGCGAAATATGGAAGAGGCATTTCCGCCTGTCTGTAGCTGTGCTGCATACCAGAGGGGCACGCCAACTGGCGGTCTATTCTGTGCCTCTGTCTAATTCTGTCTGGAGATACTGAAAAACAGAAACATGTGTTAGTAATGAACAGGCGGTGATTATTAGGACAGGAATGCGGCTATTTTTGTCACGTTCTCGGTAGAGAGAGGCTCAAACCTGATAACGAGCCCACGTCTTTCATCCTCACCTGTCCTCCTTTTCTTGTGGGACACTAAAGGCAGCAAGTCATGGCGAGTGAGCACTCGGAGTAGTTGCAATAGTGGCTCCAGGTTGCCATCACTGAGGTATCCCCGCCTGTCCAGCTCCAACAACAGCTCGAGGCCACTCTTGGGCTTGTACGAGGGCGCTAAGGGATGCTGGGAGCCCCGAGGTTTTAACCGCCTCCAGGCCTTTAGAAGCTCGGTACTCGGGGCAACACCCGAGTCACCTGGATCGCCTCCGCAGGGCTTCACTGTCCAATCTGCTGGGTCGAGAGGGTGTGTTGCGGGACACGTTTCATCCAGGAGGAATGACAACACTTCGACGTCAGTTTCTGTCAGCTGACAACCAACTACTTCATAGACCTCGTGGAGAGACAACATCCCGTAGTAGTTTACACATTCGGTTTCATCCCAGTAAAGCGAGTCCCTGAGGGGGCACCCCGGGTGATGCACGGCAGCCATGGGTCTGCCTACAGCCCCTCACTTCCCCGCCTGTGTCAAACTTTTCAGGAAACAAAAAAAACAAAAAACAGACACACAAAGAAAAAGGTCATTTGACAGGTAACACTTGATTTCTCCAACTGTAGAGTTCAGAAAGGTGTGTGTGTGTGTATATATATACATGTCAGCCGTCTGCTCTTTGCAAGCTTAAAGCAACATGTCAGCGCCATGCACGCTGTTTTAGTGGGAGACACAACGGTCCTACCTGTTTTCGAGGTCAGCTCGACGCCGTCTTGGAACATGCAATGAAAATTTAAGTCAAGATGTGAATGTGCTTTGTTGTTGTTGTCGTCGTCGTTTCGAAGAAAGTCTTACTAAAGCAGTCAGGAGGACTCGGCGTTTCTCCGGGCAGCAACGAGCGTCGGAGCAAATTACCACCTTGCGTTACGTCATCACGTCGCTCTGTGGAAAAACAACATAAGCAAAAAGAAAAAAAAATCCCTTCAAGGAATTGTTTAGCTAAATTACCAAATGCTAAATAAATACACCTGGTTTATTCACATATAAAAAATACATGCAAAAGGTGTTCACGTTCACTATCTGAAGAAACGTTAAGAAATGAACCGTTATATCAGCCGATATTAACGTTACTTCCTGGCTAGAAACTTTGTTAGCTAACGTTAGCTACACACGACGGGCCCTAATCGGATATGACAACGTCCATACAAACGGGTATACACGCGCACAATGCATCTGAAAGCAAGATTGAAAGACTACAATACACCTTCAAACTCACGCTCATCCTTATTAGAGCTATATGGGGTCGCTTGAGGTTGGTCGGCCCGACAACTCCCACAGCACCGTGCAGAACTGACAGTAGCACAATAACACAGAGAGACTGACCAATCACAGCTCTCCGTCTGGTAGATGACGTCAGATCACGTTTTCACTGCATTGATCTGCGGTCAGATTCGTTCGCTAGCTGCTCGTTAGCAGCGCCACTGAAAAAAACTCAGCCGATCTCAATTCTGCTGAATTGATTGTATTGTCACAGCTGTGCCACATATTAGTTTCCATTAACGCATATGAAATGAATACAAACGGTCCATCGAACATATTTCCATCCCCCTCCCCCCAAAAGGGAACGGAAGTCCCTGCTGCGGTCACTAGGTGGCGATGTTTCACGTGTAGACAGCAGGAAGTGAAATAATATCCACATCACATCCGTAAACCACACACAACAAAAGGTTCGGATCGCTCCTACCGAAGTCCTGCCGTGAGTATGCGAGTTTAAGAGGTTTCACGATTACAGAAACCCACTTTCAAACAGGTCGGTTTCTGTATTCGTGTGAAAACGTCACGCGACGTGAACCACGTGACCACCGGTCCTGTGCGGGTGGAAATGTTAGCAGAGAATGCTAGCTGTGCTCTTCTCAACGCAACCTTCCCATTTGTCTTAAACACTCACCGTTTTTTAAGCTATAAGTTACATTGTATGAAGTTTTTATAACTGTCCAAGTTACTTCATAGAGGAATAATTAAATTGTCTTTCATTCTTATTGTGTGCTTTGTGTAGCGACGTGGCAGTGGCCAAACCCTTTGATGACAACAGTCTTCCACCTAGTTAGTGACGTCCAACACTGTAACTAAACTTAAGTTAACTACCTTAGTTGTTATTCGGCACGGATGTGGCGTTCCGTACAACTGCCGCTTTAAACAAACTATTCACACTTGCTAATTTAGTTTGTTGTTGTTAGATTTAGTGTCCAATTTGTACTTTTCCTCTGAAATATTGTGGCACTCAATTTGTTACTTTACTAACAATTGCAACTTCACCAAACGGAGATTAAATAACTCATCAATACAGATTTCAACTGATTAAGCAATCATCTCTTCACCCTTTTGGAGCTATTATCATCCATTTTTAAAATGACCGTAGTTGATGAGTTTATATCTGATTTGTACGTGATCTGAATAATGCCGTACGGGTGTCAGCAGTAGTGCTCATCTTGTTTTTAAAGGATCTAGATTGGGAAATGACTTTTGGACAATAAACCCTAATGAAATAGTATTAATTTAGTTTTTTCATATTGCCTTGCAGCAGCCACTCTGTAGATGCCATCTGGAGCGCCAGCAGGGGAGAACTGTCTCGTAGACATGGACAGTAAGGCTGGAGATCTGTTCAGCGCTGAGGATGCTCATCCAACTGGTGCAGGGGGAGCTGGGATCTTGGCGCGGTGAGGACCTGCAAGGCAGACCAATCATATGAAATAATCCCTCAAGTGATATATAACGGCATACTTACACTCTCGTCATTTTTCAACACTTAATATGTATTTAGGTCCTAATGTCGGTCTTATTTCCTAGGCTCTGGCTCCCCAAAGGCCTCTCAGTCAGTACGGCTAAAGAGTGGATTGACAGGCGTCGGGTGTCCATCCGACCGTGGGCCAGCTTTGTGGACCAACGCAAGTTTTCAAAACCCCGCAACTTTGGAGAGTTGTGCCAGCGGGTGGTGAAAAACGTGGACACGTTCAACAGCAACTACACCTTCATCTTCATGGGTCTTATCCTCTACTGCATGTGAGGCCAACAAAGAGAAACACTTGTGTTTGCTTGAAAGCCGGAGTATTTTCTCTTCCTGCTGCCCACAAAGTCCGCACCAATACACTTCGAATCGTTCTTGGGGGAGTTTTTCCACTGGGTTTATTAGAAGAGGGAACAAAATATTTCAAACAAATACGATTATTAAAACGTTGAAAGTGGAACCGCTGCAGTTGGTAAAACCAAATTGATTGTTCTGTTGTTATTTCTTCCTCTCAGTATCAGCTCTCCCATGCTACTGATTGCCTTGGCGGTGTTTGCTGGTGCCTTCTACATAATTCACCTCAAGTCCCAGGAGTCCAAACTGGTTGTCCTGGGTGAGTAAAGCTGCCTTACAATTCGTTATCATTGTGTACCTCTCAAATATAGTGTACTCTTTAAATACCTGGTGTTGAATTCTATTATGACCCATTGTGTTTGTACAAGGTCAAATGTTTGAAACAACTTCTTTTGTCTCTAGGATTTTTTGTGAGGCAAATAAACGTAATTTTATTGAAGGATGAATAAAACACGTGTGTATGGCTAGCATATATTTTATCAAGGGGGTCGAACTGCAATTTCCTTGTCAAACCAGGCAAGGAGCTGACAGTGCCTCACCAGATGAGTCTGGCCGGAGCCGTTTCTCTACCTGTGTTCTGGCTGGCCGGAGCTGGAGCTGCAGTCTTTTGGGTTCTAGGTAGGATTAGTTTTTTTTTATTTTATCATTTTGTTTTGATAAATTGTCATTTGACAGATCTCGACATCAGACAAATGATGGGTATTTAAAAAAACAACACATGCACACATAACTAAAACTGTTCAAACAATTGGTTGACAAGTGGACATTTTCTGTCTAAAAGAAAACCTTCTTTCTTATTGTTTTTTGTTCACAATCTCCTTTTCCATTTGTCCCGCCTCCTGCTAGGAGCGACGCTGTTTGTGATTGGCTCTCACGCTGCGTTCCGGGAGCTCGAGACATCTGATATGGAAGAGCTCTTCATGGAGCCTGTATGAAGGGCAGACTGAAGCCCCAGCGTTTGCTGGCCAACTATCAGTACTCACTTTTACCCCACTTCTATCATGGCCATGTGGGTTGAGGAAGAACTGCTCCTAGATCTGTTCCTTAGCTATGCGTGTGTCTTGTATTTCCTGTATTAGAATGCACCTTGTCTTGCCTCTAAAGTAGTTATTGTTACAGACTCATTCATACACTATACCTTCAATATACACAAATGATACATTTTGAATAAGTAAGATTATATGCCTTTTATCTACATATGTTACGCCTTGGATGCCTCTGGTTAGTGACAAATCGCCTTTTACTCCCTGCAGCGTCTCATATAAACTGACATATCTTTAAACGTACTGATCTCTGCTGCTGGATGTCTCCAAAGTAGTTTCTGGATCCAAAGTCTCAGACAAGATGACTCATTTCTGATGTATAGATTGTTTATATAGTAAATGCATTGTTTGCAATTATGAACTGCTAAGAAAATAAGACGAATTTTGCAAAGGATAAGTGCCATTTAAAGCTTTATGGTGATCATGCACAAGGAAAACTAAATGTTTTACTTAAAAGGGTACAAAGTTACTCACCTGTTTCGGTTTATATCGTTAAAGGTCAGTGCGTAGTAATTATTTTTTGTATTGGGGATAACATGGTGCTTTGGTGTCTTTTGGTGTTTGATGCATACTTGTCAGACCTGCTCACAATATTCAGATCAGAACGTTACTCTGTAAACCTGAAATCTTTCTTCCATTTTATATTCATGTGTTTAAATTTTGATGTAAATTGGGTTTAATTTAAATTCTGGAAGTGCAATAAAATCGTTATGTAAAGATTTGATGTCCGCTTAGACACCATGCAGCGCTTTAATTCAGGTGGTTTGTAGCTGCAGTGGACTCAGTGGCCCCCGATCTGTACATTTCTCATTATTCTGGGTGGTTTTGAATCCACAGTGGAGACACTTCCCAACCCCACTAGCACACCAACCACTGCAGCACACACTAACTCCCTATTGCATACACCCCCCCCCCCCCCTGCTTTTCATGACCCCTGTGCTCTGTGACAGCTCAGCAAGAGGACCCTGTGCTCAGGTTGCCATGGCAATGACCTTGCAGGGCCCCAGTCATACACTCTCGCTTACACACTGCGGCAAAGGCGAGCGATCGATATTCTATTATACAGAGGGGGGGGCGAGCGAGGAGAGTCGCACTGCGGTGAGCTCACTGCAGACACACTGGGGAAATTAGGGAGGGTGTGAGTGTGTTTGTCGGTGGGAATGTCAGAAAGTGGGGGTGCGCGTATGAACAGGAGAGGCTGCATAGAGGTAGATCGGGTCCAGAAGGTCTTTGTGTTGGTCCCTCAAAGAGACCCGGTGACCGAAGGATGTGGCACCCGTACCGCTCACAAAGCGGTTCATTGTTGCTCTTATTGTATTTGTCTACTTGGTGTGTAATAAGAAGCTAATTTAAAATAGATGACCCTACAGCCACAATCTGTTCCCTTGGGAATAACAATACCTCCATGCGGTTATGTCACCTTAAGAAAGTAGCTTAGCAATCATTAAGGATGGTATTTGGATTTCTTTTAGTCTTGAATTTAGAGTTTACGGAACTATTAGGACATTGTTCCAGCGACTGTCATCCTAAAGCTCATGAATGCTCATGTCAGACATGGCTAACCCATTTGCAGTGGTTTGGTGCATTAGCCAACCCTTTCTCCTATGGCACTAAGGACATTGTGCAGTTTGAAGTGCATATACATTCACAACACTAGGTGGTATCCCAGCATCATATTTATACCACTCATTTTTCTGCAGCGTTATATCAATAGCATGTAATAATCCACAGTGACGCTGCCCAAAACAATAGGATACATTTTATTTTTGACCACAAGGATCAACTATACTGGGTATATATATATATGGGTTTAGATTTAATAAGCAAATGTGACATAACAGGCTTTTAAAAGCAGTGTTTTGCAGGTTGCATTAAATTAGCTGTATTAAGTCAGAAAATAGCACCCTCGGGGGAACCTAGGGAAGCATATCATAAAGATGTTTTCAAGGAAAAGAAAGACAGAAAAATATATGAATGAAGGTGTTGTGAAGTGTAGTTTTCATTAGACAGAAAGACACACAGACGGTGCTAGGTTGTATTAAATGTTCTAGATGTTTTATTGGTGTTGGTTTTGTTGTTTTGACACACATGTTCTACTAGTTGTGTTTTTTTTTTTTCTTCTTGACTTTCAACTTGCAGCCATCATGGATCCAGCCTGAGATCGCCGGCCCTTCACTGGTCTCCAACACATACATGCACACAGATCCGGGCCGGACCCGATCTGGTAATGGAGCGCAGGCGCATGGTCTTATCACTGCCACCCACGTCCCATCACATCGGCACACCTGCAGTGGCGGTAACCTGAAAGCTTTGATTGATGTCTTGTGTCTTTTGGTAAAAACACAACTTTAAAACCCTGCTCTGCTGTTACAGTTTTAGAGTAGCCTCCAGAAAAAACAGCAAAAACAACTGAAAACAAACAACAAAAACAGAGAGATATATCTCGCCTTTTCTTATTTTGCAATATCGTTGATGTTGTTCTTCATGAATTTCTCTCTGGAGCTGTTTTTCCAACATGTTTTTTATTGTTTCATTTAAATTCAGTATAGAATTATATAGATTTCCTAGAGCACACAGAAAGATTGAGTTGTATTCACCAACTTGGGGGGAGAGGGGGTGTACTGTAATAGTTATTAACAAGGACAATGGTTCACACAGTGCACACAAACAGAGACAAACAGGGCGGGAGGGGTGTGAGAGACAGAGGGGGAGAGAGGGGGGGGACAAGACGCCATGGGGTGTGCTTTGTTAGGCCTAAATGAGGAAAAGCAGCTCTCACGTACCCCCCCTCCCGTCTTGGAAATAAAAAAAGACAAGTAAAATCATTAAAACCCCCCCGTACCCCACATATTTAAAAAAAAAAACAACAACAACACGGTGGCCGTTGAGAACGGAATAGAAGGAGGATGATGGGCGTAGCGAGAACTACGGGGAGAGGACCACTCCGCTGCTCCTCCGCAGACAGGAGACGGGGGCGAGATGTGGCAGTCGAAGTGGCGGCGGCGGCGGTGGTATCTCACTGTGTGGTCTTTACATCTTTGTGTGATTGGAGGACAAGCAAAGGGTCGGCGAGGAGGGAGAAGAGGCAGGGGAACGGAGGCATAGAGACGGACGAGGGGACGAGAGCAGGGGGACAACAGGGAGGGGAGGGAGCTGGATGGCCCTTTTTTTTGCAGAGCACGGACACTCCCTTTGTATCCTTAGCTCATTCAAATCTACATACACAATATGCAGCTGCCGTTTGGTAGATATATTGGTTTATGTACACAGCAGTGAGAGAACACATGCAAAGAGTATCATAGGAGATGGGGAGAAAGGGGGCGGGTCAATGTAGAAAGTTGTAAAGGTGCTTTTGCTGTTTTTAATCTTTGGGGCAGTTGTGATGAAAATTGCTTTAAAGCGTTTTGTATTTTTAAGGGGGCGGGGCATCGGAAGGGGTGTCTTGCCAGGGATGGAGTGACAGGGGGGAGAAATAATTGGAACATGTGGGGGGCTTGAGCAAAGATGCTCCATTGATCAATAGTATGTCTCTCTTTCCACCCAACCTGTAGCACAAATGAGAGAAGAAAAAACAGAAGGTCACAGTCAATTCAGTGTTTTCAAGTCGTATTTTATGCCGATTGTCCATAGAATTAGCATTAATTAAAGGACGTGGTAAATATTTTAAAGTACGGTAAAGTACGGTTCTACCAGCAGTCAGTTTGTGAAGCTGAGACACAAAGCAACCGAGACTCCAAGAAATAAAAACACACGACTTCCTTTAAAGAAAGGGTGACAAAGCTACGTGTTGGATTTAACGGCATCCGGCGACCAGCTGAACCTCTTCCCGCGTGCTGTGAGTGTCGGAGAACTAGGGTGTCAGACGCCAAAGCACAAACTACAATTACTTCAAACTTACCTCCGGGGTTCCGACGAATGAGAAGTTTTCGCACCTCATCATAGACAAAGATAAGAAAACTATAGGGGAACGCACAAAACCACCAGCTAGGCCTGTGGGCGAGACAAGAGAACAACACAGATTAGAAAGAAATCAAGTCAAGAGATTTGACACAATGTGTCTCCGGACCAGAGTACAGGTTTCCGTGTGATACGTGTGTCACTCACTTTAGTGGATACATCCTGAGTGCCACATCCATGCCTGGGCAGTAGGACAGGAAGGCAGCCAGAGCGGTCTCTTCAAACAGGCCGAAGATCAAGATCTTGTTCCTGGGTGGAGACACACAACAAATATTTTAGATTGTATAAAAAGCCCAAAAGCACATTGTTAAAAAGATGAATTACTAAAAGGGCAACTTTACGTAGGTTGCTGTCCCACTATATCTGGCCTCACCTCATGCCCTGCTGGAACACAGAATTACGCCTGGTCTTGCAGATGATGACGTCAGCCCATTGCACGACCACAATGCTGACAAAGAAGGCTGTGTGGCATGTGAACTCCACAATCTTCCTCTGCTCATATGTCTGAGGGGCGAGAGAGGGCAGACACAGTAAGACCAAGTGGCAAAAACAAGAAAACACCTGAAAGTTCTCTTAAACACACAAAAAACTACACACTGACCCATTGTTGCCCGTAGGTGTCTTCCAAGTCGTTACAACTGCGGTCGTCCCAATTGAGCCTGATGCCGACTAGTGTAGTTGGCAGGAAACCGTTTTCAGCCAAGATGACAAAGTAGGCGAAGAAGCCTCCCAGAGCCTGGATCATACCTGAGGGGAAAAACACAGATATTAAGTTCTACTTTCCCCCCAAAAACATTGCAAATCCAGCTGTTACTTGTGAGCAAGGAAAAGTGGAAACATGTGGATTTAAACACACAATGACTTGATCAAACTTCAATCCAGATAAAAGCTTGGATCAGCGGCAGCAGTCTTCATTTCACCTACCGATTTGTCCGTAGGCAATGCTGATAAGCCTCTCATTCACCAGCTTGTCCCTGAATGGGTTCCTGGGCTGACGCTTCATGATGTCGCTCTCGGCTGCTTCATAGGCCAGTGAGATGGCTGGAACCTGACGGCCGAGGGAGAAGTGTGAACTTTGATTTAAGATGTGTCCTATCAGCAGGCTGCTTTTCAGTGATCAGATAGAGATTTAGCGAAAGCGAATTTTGTCGTGAAAGACGGGGTTCGATCAGCTCTCACCATGTCGGTTCCCAGGTCGATGCAGAGGATGGTGATGGTTCCCAGTGGCAGGGGGATGTTGACGATGATGAACAGCAGGAAGGGGGTGATCTCTGGGATGTTGCTGGTCAAGGTGTAGGCAATGGACTTCTTGAGGTTGTCAAAGATCAAACGGCCTGAATGGGAAGAAAAAAACAAACAGAACAGGTTACATCACGTACTAAAGTACTTGTACTTCGAATCCTCAAGGATCACATGTTCCAGTTCTGTCCTTTCGGTCCGCTCACCTTCTTCAACTCCTGTGACAATAGAGGCAAAGTTGTCATCCAACAAGATCATGTCTGCGGCCTGTTTGGACACATCGGAGCCAGAGATTCCCATGGCAACACCAATGTCGGCCTTTTTCAGAGCAGGTGAGTCATTCACACCATCACCTGTCACAGCCACAATGGCACCCTGAGACACAAGAGGGGGGGGGGGTATTTAGCATGTATATAAAGAAGACGTTATACTCATTAAATTGATTCATCTTTTAGTGGCCCTGGTATTTAGAGTTCAAACCAGATGTACATTAGGAAAACATTGCTAGGTATTTAACCAACACTTGTT